CCACATCAAGGAACCATTTCTATAAATGAATGACATATAGAGACAGAAATGTTAAGACATTTGAAAAATCTAATTAACCCACAGCTACTACAAACAGGTCCTGAGGAACAGATGCATTTTTTAAAGCGACTGTAAAATGCCAACTTGTAACCACTACTGTAAGAAACTTTGTCCTAAGTGTTTTGAAAATTAATTTTGCTTCTTTTTGTTACAAATACTTATGTAGTATGTTTACAAATAAAATTTAGCATAATTTTTTACTTACATAAAAATTAAATTAAAGGACCCATGAGTAGTACGTATTAACCTAAAATGGAAAAAAAAAAAAGAAAGAAAGAAAAAAAGAAAAAGAGACTAAAATGAACTGATAGTAGCTGCAGGTTAAGAAATGTTTCAAACTAAAAGCACAAATATTTAAGTCATTTCAAACATTATCTTGACATTAAAACATCAAATAAAAAATATAAGAGAAAATATGGAAAAAATGTAAATTCTAAAGGTAAAAAGCCAGAAAGATTAAAAAGACAATGCTAGTGTATATCCCATATACCGGAAAAACTAATATAGTGGAAACATTAATAGAGATAACACTACAGAATGCATTTAGTAGGAAGAGGTTACAACAGGTAGCAAGAACTAAAACAGTGGAATAATAAGTGGATAGAACAAAGTGGGTAACTGATGAACTACCATGATGTTACAATCTACTGCTATAGCTTATTTTGGCTGCACCACTATTCAGCCATCTCAACTAACAAGGACACAGAAACCAAGCAGAACAGGGTCTCACAACAGCCAAAACTGACAACCACAGAATTCAAACGTTTCTCTCATAATTGAATAACCATTTTAAGTCTTTATCTTAAATAAAATACTAAGAAGACTCATTATGTTTTCTCTGTCAACAGAATATGAGAAGTAGTCAGAAGAAAGGAGAGATTTCTAGAGCTGGTACACTAATAATATCATCACATTAGCTAGGTGATAAGGAACATACACAATCCACCACTCACAGTAACAGTTAACAATTAACAACAATTAACCACTGAAAGAGTACACTAAAATTGATCTTTGAACAACACAAATGTCAACTACTTGTATTACTTATACAAGGATTTTTTTTTATTTATGAAGATTTTTTTTTTAGAAACTCAAAGATGAGTTTCATAACTACAAATACCAAAAAATTAAGAAATGTATGTCATGAATATATAAAATATATGTAGATAAGACTATGTGGTCAATTTATAGAGATTGTATCTGTGTTTACATTTCTTTAGCTGCAAATGGTGTCATGTATAGTTTGTGTTTTTGTAAGTTTTGATAAATTTTAACTTCTTATAATTTCTCTATATATTATGAGAGGAATCTCATACACAGTCCAGAAATGGACTCACAGAACGGATATGACAGAATGGATACTTAGCTCTTGATTTAACTCTATGATATATTTACATTGTCTCTATTTGCTTTCTAAGATGTCTAATCTTTTCTTCAAACCCTATCAAGTTGCACTAAAAGAATGATTGATAAAATTTCTTTAAAATTCATCTAAAAACTAGTGCTACTATTTTGAAGGGTAGTACAACAGGAGAATGGGGGAAGACTATAAAAATACTTATATCCATTCTGTCAGTCCATTTCTGGACTTTATATGAGATTCCTCTCATAATATATACAGAAATTATAAAAAGTTAAAATTTATCAAAACTTACAAAAACACAAACTGTACATAACACCATTTGCAACTAAAGAAATGTAAACACAGATACAATATTAAAACACAGCTGCGTAAAATGAACTGCAGTACACACTGAACTACTGTAAATAATTTCATAGCTACCTCCCATTGCTATTACGGTCAGCTCAAGTCCTGCCAGTTCCCATGTAAAAACACTATGTGTATTGGCTGGGGATTTAGCTCAGCGGCACAGCACCTGCCTGGCAAGCGTGAGGTTGTGAGTTCACTTCCCAGTACCGGAAAAAAAAACAAGAACAACAAAAAAAACACACTGTGTGATGCAGATCATCTCCAAGCAAGCAGCTTGTTTCTCCAGAGAATTATATATTGTAGTACAAAATGATTTCTCATTATTCTCATGTACTTTTGTCATACATGATACACAGAACATACAAAATATATGCCAGATGACCATTTATGGTATTGGTAAGAGTTCCACCAAGAATAGGCTATTAGTAGTTAAGTTTTGGGGGAATCAAAAGTTATTTGTTGATTTCCTACTGGGAAGATCAGCTCTCCTTTAACCCAGTATTGTTAAAGAGCCAACTATAGTCTCAAAATACAAGAAGGAACTGTACAACCTTAAACTTCACAATTAGCCCTAAGCACATTAGACGATAATATCACTAGGAGATGAAAAATGTTTAAGTTTTGATCAGTGAGTCTTGTTTAAAACAGCAATATTTTAAAGTAGTTTCCACCTTGGAAGATTAAAATTAAAAAGCAGACATAGGCTTCAACACTCAAAAAAAGGTTATGTATGTTCAAAACCAAGATAACAATAAATAAAAATGAAACAGAGGGGCCAGAGATATAGCTCAGTGGCACAAGCACCTGCCTGGCAAGCACAAGGTCCTGAGTTTGATTCCTGGTACCAAAGAAAAGAAACAGCTACAGTTAATAGACAAGCTATAATTTTCATTATAAAGAAGATATACCATATTTAAAATATATCTGAATAGGATAAACAGTGATCTTAGTAATCAGTGATCTTAGTAATCAGCTTAGTAATCCAGTACAGTTTGTATCACTCCATACAATGCAATGATCTGGTATTCTGAGCACAATGACATATCCCATTTGGCTTGGCACGTGTGCTTTTCTACCAGTTCAATGTTGGTTCAAAGCAACAGCAAAAAATCTGCTATCGGGGCTGGAGCTGGAGCTCAGTGGTACAGTAACTGCCTAGCAAGCTCAAGGCCCTGGGTTTGAACTCCAGCAGCAAAAAACAAAACAATAAAAACAAAAACTGGTAGCCTTTCCATCCTTATTAGCAGAGTTTGCATTTTTACTAATTATAGCGCTAATACAGCAGTCATTTTAGGATTCAAGCAATAATCCGTACTTGGCAAAATTTTAATGACCTAGTACGGTGAGGTGAACCAATATAGAAGTAGCAGACGTTGTACAATCCCAGAAACTTAAACTCCAGAGCCATCTAGAATATGTAGTTATATAGTCAATTTTCCACTGTTTTTCAACCAGTCTTTCCATACTAATAAAGATGGTATGTAGACTTTTTATTTAGAATTACCATTTTTAAGAAGACAAAACTTCAGGGCCAGGGATATAGCTTAGCAGCACAAGTGCCTGCCTGGAAAGCGGAAGGTTCTGAGTTCGATTCCCAGTACAAAAAAAAAAACTTCAACCTTCTCTTCTTATAGTTGCATGAAATAGAATTTCATCCATATTAGTTTTCTCAGAAAAAGTCATGCTGAATTAAGAAAGTATGAAAAATTTCACCCCAAAGTCAGGTGCGGAGGCGCAGGCCTGTAATCCCAGCACTCAGAAGGCTGAGGCAGGAGATCATTGCGAGTTTGAGACCAGCCTGGGCTACAAAGTGAACTGAAGGCCAGCCTGAACTGCACAGTGAGACTCCATCTCAAAAAGAAAAGGGAAAAAAAAAAAATGGAAAATTTCAGCCCAATAGAAAAGTATTTTGTGATACCAAGTAAAAAAATGTCAGAAAAATATTTAAATAGAACTAAATTTTTTACCAAAACTATGTTCTACATAGCAGCTGATTTTGAAACGAAGATAAGCAGGACAACAGGTAATCAAATTGCATGATCTAAGAACCTTCTTTAGAGTATCTGTGTCTCACTGAGTATAACATCTAGCAGTCCAACTTGCAATGTTATAGTGACATGGAAGAAAAACCACAGAAAAAAAATGTCCCTATGAAGTGATCTTACTAAGAAACTTGGGCTTGCATCTGATCAAGCCTCTGTATCTTTCAATTAAAAAAAAAAAGTAGGGGCACAGAGAAACATCAAAAGGATGCAATCATCAAAACCCAGTCTATAAGAAATGCTATAGGACAAACAACCCAATTTTTCAACAGATAAATTCACAGAGTAGCTCAACACTTCATTAAAACCCACAGCCTCAAGCTCATCTCCCTGAAACCTGACAAAGTTCTTACAGAGTAAGAACTGTATCATGGCACTTGAACACTGGACTGTGGTTACCCGTCCTCCCATTACACTATCAGCACAGCAGAGAATGAAAGTGTAGCTTACAACAGAGCTCTCAATTTGAATAAAATGCCAGTACTGCCCCCTCCATAAAGAGAAGAAAATGTCACCTGCTGCTCAAAAGAATTTTGAAGGATTCTATGAGAAAAATACATGTAAAATATGTACATAAAATGTATTTTTCCATAAGAAAAGTATTGTAAAATATACAAAAAGTGTAAAAATATATGCCAGTGTTTGAGACAGTATAGGTTGTAATTATCTGATGACTGAATAAACGAAATCATAAGCAGCAAAGTTAAACAGTGACCAAAAGGAAAGATAATTGAAAAGATAACTGGGGTGGGGTGAGGGAACAAGCCATTAATTTCTAAATTGCTGAATCTGATCCTAAGTACTAAGGAGCAGCTTAACCATAGCAAACACCACCTAATAAAGACTGGAGTTAACTTGACCAAGCCTAGTAAAAGCACATAAATTTATTTTCTAAGAGCTCTCAATATAATTATCTTCAAGCATAGTTTTAATAATATGTAAAACATTTTAATGGCTTTTTAAATTTCAGCCTTACTAGTATCAACCTTTTAAATCAACCAACTTTTCCATCTGAACAGTAGGTGGCGTAACTCACATACTCTGAGCCAGCTGCTGAAAAGTGATATAATTAATGAATACTAAAAGTTCAACATGGCATCTTCCAAAATTCTGAAAACATTCATTTAAAACTGCTGAAGGGTCCTAATGTGAAGATAAATTTTTTCAAATAATATGAGGATACTTACATCTCAATTTGTCCAGCATTTTTCCACCACACATGGTTGCTAACATAGCCTTAACTGAAAATACCGTCAACTTGCCTCGGCCCTCACTGCAAAATAAATATTAGAAATAATTGCTCTCTGGAACCACAAAAGCAGTCAATGTATTACTACATATTGAGAAACCAGTAAAATGACTCCTGCCCTCACTGCAAAATAAATATTAGAAATAATTGCTCTCTGGAACCACAAAAGCAGTCCATGTATTACTACATATTGAGAAACCAGTAAAATGACTCCAGGCCTTATAGGTTACAATTATACCACATTTAGAAACCCTGGATTTTGTCCTTCTTCACCTATGCTAGGTAAAGAATGCTGAAACTAACTTAAATTACCTGGAAATGAGTTTTTAGCCCAGTCTGTAAATTACTTCTATTGGCTCTGAAAGCAAAGGCAAAGGCAAAGAGGATGAACCTGAATTATTTCTTATTATTTAAACCTATTATACTCACATATGAGGTGTTTTTAGGTAGTCAAAACTGAGGGATCACCTGGTTTGAATAATCTAGAAAAGTGTCCCTTACAGTAGGACATTATAACAAGAGTTTACTGTTATGTACTAAACAATAAGATCATATAGCAACCAAGACTACATGGTACATTCTTCATTTTCACTGTAACAATCTTTGTGTCACAATGCAGGTGTTTAGTTTAAGAAGCTTAATTAAATTTGTTTAGAGCTTCTCAGACACCACTATGAGAAAAGAAAGGGACAGCAATAAATATTAGCTCCTTTTTATGAACGGGAAAGATGAAAAGAAGAACATAGATGAATTACCCAAAGAACTCAGACCATGCACCAACAGGACCAAGACAAGGCCACCAAGGTGCCCTGTCCCACGTTTACTGCTCCATGCCCTGGTTCACTGCAGATAAAAAATTCCCTTGCTGATTGTTAGTTAGCATTAACAATAGGTGTCTGTGTTGTTCTCATAGAGTTTGTGCTCATAGTTTCTTAGTAACTTAGAGTAAAATATCTTTGCAATAAAAGGAATTGTGTCATTTTGGTTTTAAAAAGCAAATGTCCTGAGATTTATACTCACTAATGGTCCTAAGAGAGTGCTCCTCCGTTTCCAAATTTTCTTGCACACAGAAAGACCACTACACTACATTATGTTTATTCATAAAACAGAAAACTCTGTAATTAAGACAAAATTATAATGGGCTTTAATTTTTGTTTGTTTTGTTTCTGTTTTCTTGTTTTTTGAGACAGGGTCTCACTACACAGTTCAAACTGACCTTGAAATCACTATGTAGCCCAAGCAGGCCTCAACTTGCAGCGATCCTGCCTCAGCCTCCCAAGTGCTGGGATTTCAGGTGTGTGCCACCATGCTCAGCTCAGGATGGGCTTTTTAAAAAATAGACTGCTCTTCAAAAATAAAGATACTATTCCACATATGCTATGCAGCACCTAGAAATTATGAAGAATATTTCTGTATCAAATCATTGAGCATGATAGCCCATGCCTATAAACCCCGCACTCAGTAGACTGAGGCAGGAAGAGTGCTACAGGTTCTAGGCCAACCTGGGCTACACAGTGAGCTCAAGCCCAACCTGAGCTACATTGCAAGACTCCATCTCAAAAAGTTTAAATACCAGAATGCTGAGGGCTCTGAAGATGGTCTGGAAGGAAAAGCAAAACTTCCAGGAAATGCTATCAGAAAGAATGTTTTCCTTCAGGAACCTACTAACTTCTAAAGTGATTATTATGGATGGTTCTGATACTAAAACAAAGAAATCATTATAAAAATAAGTTTAGATATGTCTGGAGTTATTTGGATACACAGAAGAGTTGGTATAGAAATGCAATTATTTCTTTCTCTGTGCCAACTGGGCCCTTAAGAGATGGCACATTATCTAGATACAAAAAAAGGAAGAACCCAAAGAATGCAGAAAATAGTTCTATTCTTTTCCCAAAGAATTTACACACTTGCTATGCTTTAGATCTAAAATGACCCCACCAGTCTCATGTGTTTGGAAGGTAACTGGATCATGGAGACACTATATTCCTGCTTTAAGCTGCAAGTGTCAGGTATTTTGTCCCAGTAATTGGAAACTGACTAATACAAAAACTCAAATAATGTGCCCAAACGTTCATTCATAGTCATTCATTGCAGCATGTTTCTAATAGCAAAAAATTGTAAATACCCAAATGTCCACTAATAGAGGACTGAATACGCTATCATAAAAAAGAATGAGAAGTCAAGTGTGGTGGTGCACTTCTGTAATCCCAACACTTGGGAGGCTGAGGCAGGAGGATCTCCATGACTTCAAGGTCAGCCTGGAGTACACAAGCAAGTTCAAGGCCAGCCTGAATTACAGTGTGAGACCCTGCCTCAAAAAAGACAGACAGACAGACAGACAGAGACAGAGAATTATACTCTCACACACTTCTTTATGTACATATTAACTACCTGTAAAAGGATCTCAAGCCAACAACACTGGCTGTCTCCAGTAAAGGAGGACTGAATCTCAGCCTAAAGAGAGGAATTAAGTGGGTACTATTTTTATGGGGCATGGTGGCACATGCCTATAATCCCAGCACTGAGGGAGGCTGAGTCAGGAGAATTGCAAGCTGGAGTCCTACCTGAACAATTTAGCAAGATCTCATTTAAAAATAAAAAATAAAATGGGCTAAGGATGTTAACAGCTCAGCAGTGGAGAGCTCCTGAGTTACTCTGACCCCCAGTATCACCAAAAAATGGCACATTTGAATTTATAAATATTAAGAATATTTATACAAGAAAAGAAGGTTCAAGTCAATAAGCTAAGCTTCCAATTTGAGACACTAGATAAAACAGCATGTTACAGCCAAAACAAGAAAATATGTATGAGCAGAAATCAATGAAATTTAAACAAAGAAAAAAAAAAATCAAAGAAACCAAAAGATAGTTCTTTGCACTGATCAATACTGATAACTATCTAGGAGGGTAAGATGGGCAAGAGACAGAAACAGACACAGACACAGACACACACAGAGACAGACATGAATTACCAAAATAAGGAGTGAAAAACAGGACATCACTAAAGATTCTAGAGACATTATCGAAGTAAGAAAACGTTACAAAAACAGCTATGTCAACAACTTGATTAACTTAGATGCAAATACTCCTTAAAAAACAAATTTATCAGCTCACTCGAGAAGGAACAGATAACCTAACTAGGTTCTTATCCATTATAGAAACTGAATCTATTTTAAAGTCTTCACAAAAAGAAAGCTCCTCATTCAGAGAGCTATATTGGTAAATTCTAAACAGTTAATTTCATTTCTTCTTACAAAAGTTTACAGATTGGAAGTGAAGAAATAAAAATGTGTTATTCTAAGTAATCTAATCAACCAATGAAACTAACAAAATAAAAGCTACAGAACCTATTGAAACAGTGTAAATGAGTTTACCAACACTGAAGAACACAAGGTCAAAACACAAAATTCAGTATTACTTCCCTATGATAGCAAAAGACAATTGGAAATACGACAACCAAAAAACATGAAATACTTAAGATAAAAATCTTTTTTAAAACATGATCAAAGTTATACACTGAAAGCTATAAAATACAAAAGCAAAGAGAGAACTACCACATTCATGAAATGGAAAATTCAATACTGTCAACATGTCCAGTCTGCCTAAACCAAGCAGAATCCTGTTGTGACTCAAAGCAATCATCAGAGGTGATGGTAGAAGAAGACTTTCCCTGCCCTCACTCTGCACTTCACTTAGCATAGAGCACTCTTGACACCAGATTGTGAACTCATTTCCCCATACACACCAAGTAAATCTGCAGCAGACACTAGCTGGGTATTCTCTGACTCAGTTCTGACACTACCCATCTGGAGATAGTAGCAGATCTCACAGGTTGAGCACTCAATCTCATAAGATTAGCCCAACTTCAGAAGCCAGTTGGAAGTAACAGATGGCCACTTACACTTCTGACCACCCAGCTATAAGCCAGGGATTCCCATAACCCACTCCTAGGTTTGACTAATACGCTAGAGTGGCTCACAAAACTCAGGGAAACACTTTACTTGTGTTTATCTGTTTATTCATAAAGACCATTCAAAGGCTACAGAGAAACAGCCAGAAAAAGAGATGCAGAGTGAGGTATGAAGGAGTGTGAGGTTTCCATTCCCTCTCTAGGCATGCCATATGTTCAGTTACCCAGAAGTTCTTCAAACCCAGTTCTTTTGAATTTTTAAGAAAGCTTCATTATGTAGGCATGATTAATTAAATCACTGACCACGGGTGTTCAACTTAATCCTCAGCCCCTCTCCACTCCCTAAAGTTGGGGGATGGGACTGAAGATTCCAACCCTCTAACCACACAGGTTGCTTCCTTCTGCAACAGCCCCCCAACCCCCAGTTATACAGGAGCCCACCAAGAGTTATGTCATTACAGCAAAAGATGCTGCTGTCACCCAGGAGATCCCAAGCCTCGAGAAGCTAAGTCACACTTCTTAACACTCTGGAAATTAGAGGCCTTAGGAGCTCTGTGTCAGGAACCAGATATCAACAAAAGATTCTCCTTCCCTACTGACATTATCTATAAGGGTATCAGGAGCTCTGTCTCAGGAACAGGACAGAGACCAAACATTAAAAGATTCTCCCAGCATCTCTATCTCTCAGGTATTACAAAAGTATTAGAAACTCTGTGCCAGAAGCTGGAGCACAAAAGACCAATGTGTATATTTATTATTTTACAAATCTCAACCAAATTCACAAAATGGTATTTTTGTAGAAATCAGTAAGAAAATTAATAGTGTATCCTCAGATTTCTAAGCCCATATCCAATATCTATTTTTTTTTTCCAGTGCTGGGGACCAAACCCACAGTGGTAGATTAGTAAGCTATAAGAATATACTATTCAGATGCCTAAAGCTCACCCTATTTTTATTATGTTTATGAAGTTCCCCATGTTATTTTAATACGCATCCAGAACTGAGAGCTAGCAGCATAAGAGCTTTTAACGCAATACTAAACTTTTATTTCGTCGGCAATATTAAGTCAATAAAAGATTAAAGAAAATTAACAATACTGTTTGTATAAATCTTT